GTGCAGGTGCCGAGGGGAGAGCTCAACCCTCCTGGAAGCGAAACGCTTGGTCCTCAGAAATGTTCCACCAGCCTGAGGAGGTACCATGAACAAGCACTTGGTCACTGCACAACCCAACTCCTCTTGTTAAGCTCGGGGCTACCCTGGGTTTCCAGCTAAAGGGTCTTTCCCAGCAAAGACTGTCAACAGTCTGTTACCTGTAACCTATGGATGGAAATGGCTTGCGCATAGCACTACACCATACCGGAACTTCAGATATACATACCAGCACTTTCCATGTATCCTACATTGGACTGCTTAATAGGGTTCATATCTGCCCTCACTTCAAGAAAATCAGGATCCAGGTTTATATTCTCTAAGGAAAGCCACTGTGGTCCTAGCATAAGGACCCTCATAGCCCTTCTTCAATAGCAGGCACTTATAAAAGAAAACTGCATATTGTAAGACCCAAGCAAACAGATTTCTACACAACTTGAATTCCAAATTTTCAAACCAGAAAAAACTCACCTCCTGTCTGGACATCAGTAAAGTACACAGAAATCTCAACAGTGGGATTTTTCAGAAGTGTTTAGCATTGTTCTAGCAGTCTCTTTGGAAATCGGTCATAAAACTGTTCATGGGAACAGAACTGCAGCACTGACACTGACGTTGATCACTAGTGGCTGAATGATATACAGTGTGTGAACATACCATTGTAATCATCAGTAGCATACCCAGGAGGAATTATGACATTCTGACTAAGCGCATATTTCATCCATGGGGTGTACTGCAGACTGCATCCATCTGCACAGCAGCAGGCTGCTTACAAGAAAAGGAAATCCATACGTTTTGCATGTATGATGAGCAAAAGCGCTCATTAGTTGTCAAGTACTGAGAACCCCACAGTGGTGCCTTCAGACTCAGACGAGCTGGCATGGTGCAGCTTTCTGAAATAGCTTGCATCGTACCAATCTGCCTGCCCTATTAAAGGACAGTTTCAGAAAACTAAGGCTGAACTGCTAGTGAAACATAAATGAATCAGATATCTATTGTATAAGAAAAAATACTCTGTAAGACAGCATCTAACTCGCTGACAGCAATACTTGAAACTAGAAGGGGTTGTTTTAAATTCTCTGTATGTGCAGGACAAAATGAATTATCTTTTTAGCTGTCTAACTACTTGTAAATAGACTGCAAAAATAAAGACTCTATTTAAAAAACATACTTCAGATTTCTGTTGTATGTACAAGTGTGGCAGAAGAACAAAATCCACTAAATGTCCTTTCTTTCCCATTCAATGTAGACCTTTTAAAAACAGCAAAATCTATGCTACTTGAAATTTTTTTGCCTTCTTTATCTGAAATGTTGTAGAAGTTAGTGATGTTTATATCTCATGTTGGAGAGGTCAAATGTCTCCAAACTCCAGTCTAATCCTGAGCTGCTCCTTTACTTGCTTGTTTTTGAAATGCTGAAGTAGCCACTTAAAGGCTCTTTCAGCACCAGTGGTAGCAGAACGTCCCAGATAACTATGGTGATAATACCATAGCTCTGTCAGCCCTATTTCTGACACTCTGGATAGCCCCAGCTCACCATGAAGTAGATTTTTGGTCACTGAAAGGTATCTAGACTCCATTAACTCCATGGATTACATCTTTACTGAAGAGAGCTCAGGAAGGTAGCTACTATGTAGACATCTAGGACTTGGTTCAGTTGCCTAAACATGGTTACTTAGTGCAATCTGAACTGGCCTGGGGCATCTGAGACATCTGCTCAGGGCTCTCATAGCACCTATGGGAAACCTGTGCCTTTCTGGGTAGGCAGTCAGAGGTCAGGTGGGATATCCTGGAGCATCTCAAATGGCAAAAAGCACCTATGTTGAGACAACTGAAATAAGGCCTTCCTTCAGACACCTACATTCAGACACCTAGAAGCTGAAAACTCACTCCAGCTTCTACACAGAGATCCATACAAAATAAAAGGAGAGAATGTAATCATGAAAATTACCAGTATAGCTGTCTGGAATTGGCATCTTTGTTAGCACTCGCAGCAGAAGATGAAATAGTAAAGCAGGACTTGCAATCCTCCCGATTGCTCTGGGAAGCTGTTCATATCGTTCCATTTTTTCCCTATGAAAGTAGCTGAGCTGATTTTGGTCTATACTCTCTGCGCTGTGGCTCACTGAGACTTCGAAAATTTACGAAAACCAAAGACCTAGGCTACACTGCAGATTTTTCCATTTCTTTTTGCAATATGTAAAAACACATTTATCTTTGAGGTTCTGTCAGTATGCTATTGGATTGTGTACAAGGTCTTGTAATATTGATGTCTTTCTTTTTCCAGGTGGGGCTGAGCAAAAGTGGTCAGCCATATATTGCTTTGACCTAAGAAAGAAGTTTCAAGTCATTGTTGGTATTTCATGGGTTCACATAGAAGTTAGCAAACTCTTTTACTTACAAAATCCTATAAAATAATAATTCAGGGAGATAAAAATGGTTTTGAGTGAATGTTTTTTAGGAAAAAAGTTTTGGGTCAACTCAAAGTTGGAATGAAAATATTGATTCTCACTGTTCTAACTTATCCTGGAGAAATTTGTAAAGGTTACACACACAAAAATCCAACCTGTTGTGAACCTATGGATGGATTGTTGCGGTCATTACAAACACTAAAGGTGTGGAAAAAGTAAAGCCCAGAGATATTAACATGATCACAAAAATGGGTAAGAGTTTCTGCCTTTTCTGTGCTTCTGCCACCTTTCTTCGGTGCTTTTCTGCTTTCCCAAGAGTGCCAAGAAGATGTACGTGTCTTCTCTTGCCATGTTCTGCAATTGCTGCTCCAGTGGTTCGGAGTGTGCTCTGAGTGTGCACTGCTCTGGTCTCTTCTACCCTCCGTCTCACCCACTGAAGTGTCAGCAATGGGATGTGAACTCAATAAGCTCAGGTTCTGATATGAAGCAGGTAAACTGAAAATGGGATAAGGGGAAGAGAGAAGCCCACGTGAAAGAGAAGACACAGGCCAGAAACTGTGGTAGAAAAGGAGGAAGGATTGTGGAGGTAACAGTTTGAACATCAGGCTTTGGCTCATACATAGTATCTGATATTTTGTCTATTTTAGACTGCAAACAAAACGAGATAAAAAGATGCTGTATTTGTTATTTGAATTCCTTGTCCAACTTCTTTTATGTCTTTGTAGATCCCGCTATGGTTCTTAAGTATTTGGCACATAACAGTAAGTAATAAAACCATTCTCCTCCACAAAGTCAACTACTGTTTCAAATGGGGCTTTGTCTTGATATCCACAGCTCTAGGATTTTGCAGCTACAATTCCTTCAGGAGATGTCCCAACTATGTATGATATGGTAGAAGAGAAATGCAATACAGAGAACCATATTACAAAACAGTTCATGTCACCTTCTGCATCCAGACTGCTCTACAGGTTGTGTGACAGTCTCCAGATCTCGGTGAATAACTGCAGCATACAGCTTGGACTTGTATCTCCCTGTTTGAAGTCATTCTCCACTTAGTGAATGATTTTTGGTCTGCAGTGGTTTTGAGGCTTGTTGGTAATATTCGGGGTGCCACATAGCATTGCCTCTGTTCTCTAATTGGATATTTTATTGAAACTAACCTACCCAGAAGAAAAGAAGCTTATAAGAACTGCTTACACAACTCAGAAATGACACCAGCATTAGTGTGTCAGCATTAGCGGTGCTCTGGGTACTTTCCAGACATACAAGAGGAGACGGGCTTTGTTCCGCAATTGTTATTTGCATGCAAAAATTTTTGCTCTTTTCAGTCATCCTGCCTTCTACCCCTTCACCTTCCCCATGTTTTCCTCCTCCCCATTTCCATTCCTGTCCCTTCTCCTGGATCCTGGGCTTAGAGAAGCTCTGACCTCAACAGCTGGCTAGTGAAAAGAAGGCCATAGCACTGCAGAGACTATTTCTCTCTCTGCCCAGAATTTGCTCATGAATTTGATGAGAACTGAAGTCTCACCATCCCAAGGGAGATTGACACCTTGTGGCCCTTCTTCATGTTAGCTGTTTCAGCCAGAGGCTAGATTCAACCACGGGTTTGCGTGAAAAGGACTGTCTGCTGTTAGATTTAAAGAAGTGATCACTGACTGAACAGAGATGGGATATATATTTAAACTGATTCTGATTTCCACAGAGAGTCCTTTAGGTCAGGATTGTAGCAAAAAATGTATATCCAAACATATCTCAGATGGCTGATTTGAAATCCAAATCCAAGCTCAGACTTTCCCCAGGCTCAGAAAAATCATGCTTGGCATTTGAGTTAGGTCCAGAATAAAAGGTAGTTGCAGTTGTTGGGTTTGGAGCTTGTACTATATCTGGGCTGATAAGATGTTTGGGATGCAATTCAGGGAGTTTCTCCTTTGCCAAAATATAACTATTTTTATGAGTACTATGAAAACAAAGGGTAAATTATATCAAAATATGGTGTTAGTCAGGAGTAGAAAAACTTACAGCCATTTCAGCTCCAAAGACTTTGCTCAGTTTTTACTATCTTAGCTAAATATAGACTGAATATGTTATTTTAGGCTGATCCACTGCTGCTTTCACTTAAAGTAGACAGATGTTCTTGGAAGACTAATTTTACACATCCAACACTGAAAATTTTGACATGCATATGGACATCAAGACCAGCACTGTGGGCATTAGATTTTGTTCTTGTAGTACTTATTATTATAAAAATTAATCTCTTTGCACTACTTCACCTCTTTATGAGTTTCTTATATACCTGGAATTCTTAGTTAGGTATTGAGGATCATAATGTACTGTTGATTTTTCAGCAGAGCTTCCCAGAGCTGTCAAAAAGGAGATAACTGACACAGTGAGACTCTTAAAGTGGATCTACAGGCCTGTCTATGGAGAGAATTTCAGGAAAATTAAGGTAAATTCATTAAATGACTGAGCACAGTAAATAGATGAGAAGGTGCTTTAATACCCCATGACAATTGTCTTACTCAGTACTCATTGGTCTTAAATTGCTTATCCTCTGAGGATGATTAAGAAAAGGATGTAAGGTTACTTTAACTCTGTTAGGCCACATTTCATCCAGCAGTCTAAAGAAAATAACACTGCCTGCGTAACTCATCTTAACTTTTCACGGTGTCTTTGAATAACCAAGCCATACTCACCCTATACACAGGCCTTCAAATGATTTTGCCTTTTTAATCTCTAAAATATACGGGAGGGCTGGAGTGGCATCTTGGCCAGTTTTCCATTCCCTGATTCTGCAAGCTGTTCTGTCAGACCTCCACTCAGGTGAGCAGTCCTGCTGCTGTGAGTAGAGTTCTGCCAGTGCAAATTTGCTGAAAAAAATGGTACCCTGCTTTACAACGAATGGGAGGCTAGAAAGGTTAGAAAGAACAAGGATTTTTTTAAACATTCTGAAAACTTGGCCATATGCAAAAATACTGGGTCATAAAACATTTTTTTCTAATCCTGTAAAGACAAGAATAAATTGAGTGTTCCCCAATAAAAAGCTTAACTCTGCAGGTTGTTCTTATTTACCATGAAGAACTGCTTAATAGCGTGCAAGAAGAATGTCAACAAGATTGTCAGGACGGATTGACAACAGGACATCAAGGAAAGTGTTATTAAGCAGTATTCAAACCGCTCTACCTTCCCTTTTGCTATGGATATGGAAACATATAACCACACTGGTGTATCAACACATTTATAAGTATGTGCACAGACCCATGCATCTCAAAGTGCTATTGCAAGAATTTCTGAGATTTTTGATTCAGTTCACTATTTTCAGGATTTTGAATGTCCTCATATATATTGCATCTAAGGAAAAAGTGACACTGTGTAAACAGTGAATGTGTAAGCCATATGTCTGTTCTAATCATGCATTTGGGTTAATCAGATAAGTAATTATGCATGGGTGTGCTTTTCAGATGTCTTCTTGCTCTTGACAGACTGAATCTGGATTTATATGATAAAATGAATGGGGAGGAGAAGGACTTTTATACATCCATATTTTTTAAAAGTACTAGGAATTAGTACCCACAATTCTGTTTACAAGTGAAAAAGGAAATGACACAAGAATAGTGAGCTGAGCTTACACATAAGCACTTTGATCCAAAGATTGGGAGTAGAGAGAAGGAGAGACATCCTGAAAACATAAAATGGCTTAAAAACCCCACCAGCTGTGAGAAAGACAGCACTCATCTCGGCTGTTCTGTTTATGGTTCTCTTAACTCTTTTCCACTATGAAAAACATTTTTCTGTGTGAATAAAATATCATCATTTTTAACATTTGAGTTAGCATAAAAGAGACATTTTTGTTACCAAAACTTTCAGGATACTTCCTTGAAGGAATAACTCACCTTGCTTTGAGCACAGATTTACATAAACAGGTTTTCCCGTCTCGCTGGCTTCTAGCTGCATCCATGTATGAAGGTATTTCTTACTCTGCTTGGCCATGACCTTCTGACCTTGCTTTGTGAGAAAGAGCGAGCTGTTGGCCACCTTCAGGAGCCCGTCCTCCTCGTGGCAAGTCCACCTGACTGCCTGGGGACAATCAACGATGATGCTGCGAGATGACAGGGCAGAGCGTGTAGAGATGCTCAGGCACTGGGCAGATTTCACATGGAGGAGCCTGTCATCTGCCGTCCACTGCCACTGCTGGTTGAGGTTGATCATATTGCACTTTTCCATAATGACTCCTCTTTTTTCTGAAAGACACTGCTGTTTCTGGACATGGATAATCAGAAACCCTTCTGGAAGAGGAAAATTCCGGAAAAATACAATAGATTACACGTTTTTTTAACAAAAAGCGACTTCTTGATGATTTAAAATATATCAGCAAATAAATCTCTCTTGCCACTTTCTATATGTTGAACTTTTCCTGAACTTTCCATGTGTTGAACCTATTTTAAAAAAACCCGAACATACAACCCACATGATGCAAGTGTTGGTAACGTAAAGAGTGAGAATGCAAAAAGCAAACTATTGTGGCAAAGGTCACCTTGACCTTCATTATATATAAAAATGAAGAAAAAATTAAACTGGATGTAAAAGAAATCCAAGATCTGTTAACTTTAAATACCAATTCTAAACACCCCACTTCCCCTACTTGAAAGCATACAGAGATCTACACAAGCTCTCAGTCTTTTTTCTGTTTTACAACACAGTCTTTTTACAATATAATTTACTGTCTGGAAATTGTTTTAGTAAAACTCATAGTGTTTCTGAAGAAAACATATAAGAGGACATTCCCAAATCTGTGTGCCTCTCAGTGCCTGTGCCGTTACAGGAATGGAGGCTCTTTACTGGTAGGAAGTACATCTATTTTACTGGATTTACTCCAACGTCTCTAGCTGTTAGTTTTGTGACCATCCTAATTCACGTTAGATTAATTCTTTGTGCCACCACACTTAAAGATCAACACCAAATACTCAAATGAAGAGAACTACAACGCATTCATCAAAAAACCCCAAAGTTACCAACACAAAATCCATACTTGTTACAGAACACGGAACTGGATATTTCAAATGCAGCCTCCCTGCCACATCTTGTTTTGGTTTTTCTCTTTTTATAAACTCAGTTACTCAAACATTTCCAGCCTCATTAGTTACAAAGTGCTAAACCCAACATGTGTATTTATTTCCCTTGGTTGAGATTCGTCATCCCCCTGTTTTTACAGACCTGGGTATTTTCTAACTAAGCATCACAGAAAGCTCCTGGCTCTGGAAGTTTCATAAAGTAGGAATAAAAAATAGGAATCTCCCCTTCGAAGAGCTTGTCCCAAAGCTCAGCTCCTGGATTGTCTAGCAGGAGATCTTAAAAAAAAGAAGATGTATCTCCAGCATAGAAGGAGACAGTTTATTTTCCTTTGGAAAGAAATCTAAACAGAACGGGCTACGTTGGCCCTGCCCCCCATTCCTCTTGTATGAACCCAAGCGAAGAAGTGACTCGGTTTTTGTAAGTCGCCAGCTACCCCGGAGGGCTCTGCTCGGCGGCAGAAAGAGCAATGCGGCAGGGGGGAAGTGGATAGAGACACTTACCTGAGAACGTCAAGGCAAGACAGGTAGAAACCAGGACGTGAAATAAAGAATCCATTTTCCCTCTAGCAACTCTCCATGCTTCTCTTAAAAAAACCCACTTCAGATAAGTGAAGCGAAGGCTAGGAAGGAAATGTGCCTTCACAGGGGGAAAAAGTCAGTGACGAGCACTTCCTTCTATTCAATTGTTTTGGGGAGTTTTACACCACTTTGTCCTTTCATATGATTCTTCAGAGTTTACTAGTTGCTTTATTTTGGAAAAATACAAGCAAAAGAGAGAAAGGTTTTCAAACACCCAAACACTAAAAGAGATGATGTTGAATAAAGAAAGGGGATTATACTTTTGTGTAATTCGTTGCCTGTGAGATATTACAAGTCTGCAGGTGATCTGGATGGTGCTGAATAAGTATATACTGTAATATCCAGGGAACAAACACACATTTTTTTGTAACTATACATAATCAAACAAAATCTTGATATTGATACTTGTAACTCCACGAGTTCTAAAAGCCAAGTGGAGAGGGGGAGGAGAAGGGGAAGAGGAGGAGGCAAAGCTCTGAAGTCTGCACCGGGTCTTACACAAACTCCCCCCGAGGGATCAAGTGATGCTGGTTTTGCCTTCCCATCAGGTGATCCACCTTGCTCCATGTCAGTGGGAGATTGCCCGTGTCCTCTGGATTGGCTCTCCAGTGGTCTGAAGCCATGGTGGAGGCTAACCAAATTGTACTGGGCTGTCCCTGTTTGTGGGGGTACAAGAGCGTGCGGTGCATTAACTACTCTAGGCAAGAATAAAGACTTCAGTACATGTTTTATATCAAGTGTAATTTATTAGCAGTATGAAGCAAAGTCAACATCACTGCATTAAAAACTCATTATACCCTGTAAACAGACCTCCCAGTGCTGTAAGTCATAATGCCAACTTTGCATTTCTCTTAAAAACAAACTCTTGCTGAACGGTAAAGGAAACAGTCATAGCAGCATTTTCTTTCTTGTATAACCTGTCGTGGAACAGTTCATATCACTGAAGGCATCTATCTCTTACTGAAAGAGATAGAGCAGATAAACAACATAAGCAAAAAATCCCGTATTAATAAAAGACAGACAAATATTTAAAATCCTTACCATTTAATATATGCTACAAAGTTTCTTTTAAAAGTAAAATGACTTACACAATTTACAAATACACTGGATTTGGGTCTGTAGCAGAAGCATGTTCTAAGACAACAGTATAGGGTAAATACATACACACTGAATAACAGACATTGTGCTCTGCAACTGCTCTGTAAGACCTATTGTAAATACACATTTAATAGTTAATAGTATGAAGAACATATATTTCCATATAAAATATTAACTGCTTTTGAATATTTTCAAAAACAAGACTCAATTTTTTTATTATCTCATCTTCTTTTTTTTAATCCATAATTGAAGACTTGCAATTTTAGCAGCAAGAATATTATGTGGCCAGGAAACAAGCTCACCACATAATCAGTAATAGCACTTTACAGTACAGTTGACAGTCCATTCACAAGACAGTTTGCAAACGTTAAAGCATTTATACACTTGATAAACATTTCTTCTGTGGAAGTTCCAATGTCCATCTGACTGCAGCAGTAGCACATACATACATTCCATATGGCAGATATCAGTATTACAGAATTTAACCCACCTTTAGACATATACGTGAAATCCGTGTGTAGTTTCAGTACAGTACCTTCTTTATAAATCATTTTTGGGAAGCTCACAATACATTCATATACAGTAAGGGTCCAGAAATCTCTATACTTTTGCCAAACCGTCCACAATCCTTTCAGAAGTTGGCCTCAAAGCCGCTCTTCTGCAGTAAAACTGAAGAAGCTGCTGGTAGGTAATGAAAGAAATTACCTCGAGAGACTGACATTCCGTTTTACCCTCCTTGGCTTCACTGGACAGCTTCTGCAGAAAGTCTGCTTTCATACAGACTCAGTGCATGGTGCACAAATTCATACTGTTCGCTGGTCTGAACCATTCCACCCCTGAAAAGGAAATATTGGAATGAAATCTTATTTCTTATGAATGCAACAACCTCCAGCCCCTGCCAACCCCATGACCACCGGATAATGCAAGCCCTTTTCTCAATTTTTGACTTGAAGTTTGCTTCAGTAAGTGGGAGATCTGCCTGAGCAGAAGTACTTTCTTCATAACTTACGCCATCCAGCACATGCCCAGCATGAACCACCATTCCCAGTTCTGTCAGGGTGAGAACTAGAGAGGAAAATATCTGGCATCTACATTGTTAAAACCTACATTTCAAATTCAACACATTCATAGAGAATTTTGCTCGCTCACTTGGGCAAGGAAGGCCAGATACACGGATGCAGCATTACTATTGATGGAGCAAGGGAGTATTTAGAATCTGGCCTTTCATTTTTGTCCTTTACTGAAAATGTAACCTTTGGTGACCCTCAGATCGCCTGTGCAGAGAACAGCTCTTCCTGTCCTCTTTCTAACGCCTGCAATGCATCCTGTCTGAACAGCAGCCACCTAAGAAATTTTACAGCAGTGACTCATTTCAGCACCAACAATACAAAAGAGTTTAACTCGACCATAAAAAGGACTAGTTACAGCCAGCTTGGATTAGATGCCTACGTTTAATACATTAACCTGATAACAATCTCTCTTTCAGGTCTAAGTATGGGGATCAAGTCCAACATCTCCAGTGCCAATTGCCGTGTGGTAGGAAGGGGATGATGTCCTACAGGAGGTAGGTGTGATATTTAGTAAGAGTGGTACCATTCAGCTCTGAAATTAAACTGAGCCTCTTTCTGACAGTACTAAGGTCTTTCAGGTCTCACTTCTCATGGAATGAAGCCTCAAGTTTACTTAATTCAACTTCTATTACCTCATCTGCCAGGGTATTCAAAGCTACCTACTCTGCTTCTAGAACCAAGCCCCAGTTCATCCTCAGTGTACCCTGGAGCAGCTAGTTGCCTTTGGGGGGATGAAAGAGTATAGTGGGAAGGAAGACATTAAGTTGTGTATTGTATTTGGCTTCAGCTAGATTTTCATTGAAACAATCAAATTCATGAGGGATTTGGATCCAGAGCAATGTCGAAGCCAGGCATCTTCCAGGAGAAGGTCTGACAAACCCCCATGTTATCTCTTCAGACACCCTAGGGTCTACTGATATACAAAGCTATATGAAAAATGGTAAAACTGCCTCAACAAGTATTGTCCTTTAGCATTAGAGAATGTTATCTACAACCATAAGGTCCTTTTATTTTCCTCAGTGCTACTGGATGGTTAAATGGCTGTGGCAGGAAAAACATAATTAAAATAATACCTACTTCTTTAAGCAAGCAACCAGCTCTCTCTGCTCCTCCACTGAGCTCGGGCAACTGTAAAACACCTTTTAGTGAGCTGCATGTCTTTTATGATACGTTATTCCTAGGAATTAAATCACAGGCCCTTAAATGGTCCCATCCGGTGCAAAATGCAGCAGCCTCTTAGCTTTGCCAACAGACATCCACAAATTCATAACTCTTGGCTGCCTGCTGCCTTCAGCTGCTCTCCTCTGTGCCTGTCCCCTGCCTGAAGATCCAGCGAGAGTCTAAAGGTGATGGGAGGGCTTTGCTCTGGTCTTCTGTGCTGCTTAGCCTCCTTCCTTCCTCCTCACTGCTGCGTCCTGCCCTGCCCACGCAACCCCTTCCCAGCCAGCTTCCCTCCCTGTCTCTCTCATCAATGTTCCCCAAGATGTGCTCTAAGGGAGTGCATTTCCCAGGTTAGATCTGCTGTGGGGAAGGGGTGGAGGAAGGGAACATATCCAGGGAGAAGGACTTGGCAGGAAGGGCAGGTTAAAACAAGTTTGGCCGCACTAGGCTGTTTGTGGGGGTGATCCTTGCTGCTTCCTCTTCAGTGCTGAAGTAACATACAAAATCCCCAAGAAAGCATGCACAAGCCTGGCTGGGGCTGAGCCCAGCACTACCGCATTTGCCCTGTCCTAGCAAGCATAACCGAGATGTTATGGTGCTTCTGAACCCTGTATGGGCAAACAAGTGCACGTCCCTGTCAGCTTAGGGACACCTGAGTCATATACAGAGGTTCAGACAACTTAGCCTTGTCAGCGCTATTATACACGGGATTCATAGAACCATAGCATCACAGAATGGTTTAGGTTGGAAGGGACCTTTAAAGATCATCTAGTCCAACCCGCCTGCCATGGGCAGGGACATCTTTCACTAGATCGGGTTGCTCAAAGCCCCATCCAACCTGACCTTGCACACTTCCAGGGATGGGGCATCCACAATTTCTCTGGGCAACCTGTTCCAGTGTCTCACCATCCTCATAGTAAAGAATTTCTTCCTTCTTATATCTAATCTAAATCTACCCTCTTTTAGTTTAAAACCATTACCACTTGTCCTATCACTAAAGGCCCTGGTAAAAAGGCTTTCTCCATCTTTCTTATAAGCCCCCTTTATATATTGAAAGGCTGCAAAAAGGTCTCCCCAGCCTCTGACCATTTTCGTGGCCCTCCTCTGGACCCACTCCAACAGATCCATGTCTTTCCTGTGCTGAGGACTCCAGAGCTGGACGCAGTACTCCAGGTGGGGTCTCACGATAGTGGAGTAGAGGGGCAGAATCACCTCCCTTGACCTGCTGGCCACGCTTCTTCTGCAGCCCAGGGTACGATTTGCTTTCTGGGCTGCAAGCGCACATTGCTGGCTCATGTCCAGTTTTCCACCTAGCAATAATCCCCAAGTCCTTCTCCCCTTTGTTCTTGTGCAAGGCTCACATTTAATAGCAAGGAATTATCTGTGTCCCTAAGACATCGGTTTGTGCAAAAGG